CAAAGATGGTCTTTCAAGTGCATAGGACGAAAATGAAGGAAAAGGTAGGACCTCTGAAAATTGGGAATGGACAGCTGACAGATAACGAGCTGGAAATGTGTTCCATATTTAATGACTATTTTTTTCAGTTTTTACACAGGAAGACATAAAATAAGATTCCAGAAATTAACAATTATTCAGTTCCTGACGAATTCAAATTGACTAATATTACTGTTACGAGGGACATGGTTATCAAACAGATAGACAAACTGAAGCAAATGAAGTCTCCGGGGCCCGACGAGTTGTTTTCCAGGGTACTTAAGGAATGCAAGATGGAACTTAGTCAGCCATTAACCCTTTCAGGGTCCAAGGCCCAAATCTGGAGTCACGCACCAGTGTCCAAGAATTTTCAAAAAAAAAAAAATTGTTATTTTTTCTTATGAAATCGTAGAGAATCTTTTTGTGAAGGTAATAAAACAAAAAGTACGAAATTTGGTGGAAAATTTACGAAATTATGCTCTCGCGAATTTTGATGTGGCAGCGATATTTACGAATCGGCGATTTTGCCGACTTTGACTCCCATTTTAGGCCAATTACATTATTCCAATCAACCAAATTCTTAGCTATTTCACTAGTATTACTTCTATTCTATCGATTGAGCACAAGAAATTGCCAAGTCAACTGTTTCAACTACAAAATAAAGTGATTGGAAATTGTTAATTTGGCCAATTTAACACAAAGTTCAAAATATTCCAATTTCAAAATAGGGTCCAGAATGAACAATGTAGGCATTCCTGGCACTAAACTAACATTTCCTCTGTTCATTAGTTATGTTTTGAGGCTTTACAAATAAATTCAATTTTGATTTTTTATTCACATAATGAATTTTTATTCACACCAAAAAATAGAAGATTTACTGTTATGCAATACTGTAATAATTGTATAAATATCATCACCATATTTGTGAATGTATATTAGACCCACAGCTGACGTGTATTAGACGTGTGAGGTCGTTTGTTTACTCTTGAATATCGGCAAAAATTTAACATTTCTGCTACTTTGAGCTCAGTTTCAAGCCATTTCCAGTGCTAAAACCAATCAAAATAATCTCTATTTCTGTAATATGTCTTCCATTCTATCAAATGAGACCAAGAAATCGCAAATACAACTATAAAAAACATACGAAAAAACACTGCAAAGTTGCTGTTTTAATCGAAAAATCATGATTTCATTTTTTTTCTCTCATTATACACAGTGTGCTGCAGGATCTGTTTTATGTGGTGCACACATACCACATAGATGTATTCTCTCATATCTAGGCCCAAATGTACCACTCACAGTTTATCAGAGTGAGCTGAGCTCATGGCGTAGATCTACGGTTTGGACCCTGAACGTAAAGCCGTAGATCTACGGGACGGACCCTGAAAGGGTTAACGAGTGTGTTTAATGTGTCCATCCTTACTGGTGTTGTACCAGAGTTGTGAAAGCTGGCTAATGTGGTTCCTATATTCAAATTAGGGGATAAGTCCATTCGTTCAAATTACCATCCAATAAGCCTGACATCTATAGTGCGCAAGTTACTAGAATCAATTATAGCTGACATTATTAGAAATCACCTTGAAGAGCATAACTTGATAAATGAATCTCAGCATGGGTTCACGAGAGGTCGTTCCTGCCTGACAAATTTACTGACGTTCTTCAATAGAACATTTGAGGCAGTAGACAATGATCAAGAATATGATACTGTTTATTTGGATTTTAGTAAAGCCTTCGATAGAGTACCTCACAAGAGACTCTACGAAAAGTGGCAGCTCATGGTATAGGAGGTAAAGTTCTAGCATGGATAGAGGCATGGCTTACCAATAGAAAGCAGAGTTTTTCCATTAATGGGGTCAAATCTGAATGGGGATTAGTCACTAGTGGCATTCCACAAGGACCAGTTTTAGGCCCTCTCTTGTTCATAATTTACATTAATGACCTTGAAGAAGGGATTACGAGTGACAAGTAAATTTGCTGATGATACAAAGATAGGCCATATGATTCATTCTGAGGATAGCAATGAACTCCAGGAGGATTTGGACAAATTAATGTCTTGGTCTGAAAAATGGAAGATGAAGTTCAATGTGGATAAGTGTAAGGTAATACCCCTTGGTAATGAAAATAACCCTCAAAGCTATAAACTAGGTGAAGTAGAGCTTGATCATATAGAATGTGAAAATGATTTGGGAGTGATGGTAAGCAGAAACCTAAAGCCAAGACAGCAGTGCCTAAGTGTGTGCAACAAGGCTAACAGATTACTTGGATTTATCTCAAGAAGTATAAGTAACAGAAGTCCAAAAGTTATTTTACAGCTCTACACATCATTAGTAAGGCCTCATTTAGATTATGCTGCTCAGTTTTGGTCTCCTTACTACAGGACGGATATAGACTCATTAGAGAACATACAGAGAAGAATGACTAAAATGATATACTGTGTAAGGAATCTCCCGTACGAAGATAGACTTAAAGCCTTATATCTCCACTCTCTGGAGAGACGTAGAATGAGGGGAGATATCATTGAAGAAAGTGGATGATGGGCATAAAGAAAGGAGATATTAAGAAAGTACTGAGGGTGTTGAACCAGGTAAGAACCAGAAATAATGAATTTAAGTTGGATAAATTTAGATTTAGAAAGGACATTGGTAAGTACTGGTTTTCTAACAGAGTTGTGGATGTGTGGAACAATCTTCCCAGTAGGATGTTAGAGGCTAGGACCTTGGGTAGCTTTAAGAGAAGACAAATATACGAGTGGGAGGGGCTGGGTTTGATTGGTTTCATTGTGTATGGGAGTTAATTCTTGGGTAGAGGTCGTTTTGATAAGGACCTGCCTTGTATGGGCCAGTAGGCCTTCTGCAGTGTTCCTCCATTCTTATGTTCTTACGTTCTCATCAATATAAGAACATAAGAAAGGAGGAACACTGCAGTAGGCTTGTTGGCCTATACTTGGCAGGTCCTTCACAAATCCAGCCCACTAACAGAATAAACATTACCAAGCAATAAGCTTTGATAATTCTATTTACTCACGTGCAAGTTCCACCCAAATCCAACCCCTCTCACTCATGTATTTATCCAACCTTATTTTGAAACTACCCAAGGTTTTTAGCTTCAATAGGGCTTTGGGTAGCTTTAAAAAGAGATTGGACACATATGCGAGTGGGAGGAGCTGGGTATGATTGGTGTCGTGGGTACATAACATAAGAAAGGAGGAACACTGCAGTAGGCCTGTTGGCCTAGACCCCCCACCTCCATTCTAAAATTTGAAACACTGCTGGCCCCAAGGGTTTCGGATAAAGGGATGGGGACCATGTGAACTGAAGAACACGTCACAAAATTTAAGTTTACGTTCTTAACACCTCTAGAAAAGGTAAAAATCAAAAGAAAGAATTTCATCTTACCTACAATACTAGCTGTCGTTGCTTGTTGATATACATGGATGCAGAGAAGGTTAATGTGGCGTTGAACATTATCTGTACAAACATGTGGCAGGTAGTATCAGCTAAAAACACTATCACCTGTCACCATCTTCAACCATCGCATTTGGAGGGACATTTAAACTGTCATATCTGCATGCTTCTTTCAAGACAGTGATAGTATGAATGATGGTGAAAGTTTCTTTCCTACCTCAGTGGGAGATGGCCAGTGTGTTAAAACATGGGCATGAAGTACTGTGTTACCATGAAAATATGTCACCAAATACTGTACTGCATTACCATGTGCATAGCCCACATCATGGAAACAAAATACTTACAATTTTCACACAATCCACGTCATCATGGGTACAAATTACTGTTCCCAATGTGATGTCATCATGGCTATGGAATATATACTGCATTACTACATACACAGTTTTTTCATGCATAAGTGTATTACATCCTTTTTCTTATGATACACTGAATAGGCCCATTTTTATATTTAAGGAGAAGTCCTAAACCCACACGGGTTATACAGTACTTGGGGATTGGGTAGCAACTGGGTTCGATCCAAGGAATGGAAGAACAGGCTCAATTCCTTGGATCAAGAGCCCCTCACCAACATCAAGATGCTTCCCTTGAAAGGTACAGAACAAAATTGCTTCCATCAAAAGGACCTTATCCTTGTCATGAGCCTCATCATCATCTTCAAAGAAATTCATCTGTTACATCACTAGGATGCTGTATTGTATCCAAGTAAATGAATGGTCCTAAATGATGTCTTGCATCAAGCATTCAGGTATGGCTATATGCCTGTGTTCACACCCGGTTAGCTTTTACTTTTTAAAGTTTTTGACTATATATATATCAATGGTCTTTACTTCAACCATGTTACAATTATGCTCTTTATTATGTTGTTATTATTATAGTCATGGGAAGCACCAAATCTGTAAATATTATTCAGCAACATATCGGTGATAGAAGAGGTGGGTGTCCATGGAAGGTTAGTAATGGGGAAAATCAGAATTGACATAAGAGTATTTATATATGTAATGCCACAAAATCTTCCCGTTCTTTGTTTCAACACTAGAGCTTAATTTCATATATTAACTTCCTCAGTTTTGTTAAGAAAAATGTATATGTTATGTGAATTATAAGCTGAGTAAAATACAAGCTCATTATTACTTATAAAAAATAAAAATTTAAGAGTTAAAAAAAAAAAAATCAGCCTCAGTAGTTTCAAAAACCAGAAACAAAGAGGCATACAAGTAATGCTACTCAAACAAGAATAAGCATAGCAGGCAATAAATTTTGAACAAAACATTTCACATGATGTCTGATCGTCACAGTGGTTATGACATGAAATACAGAACACTGGGATACTGCATCCACGGTTTTAATAATAATTCCATGTTAATAATTATTAGAGAGTAACCAGAACTACACTACAGAATTAGGTGATTTTCTTAGGTGTCCAACAAAGACATAAAAAGCATGCTTCAAACTATACCATGCACACATACACACTTCGATTAAGTTCAAACACAATGTGTGGATTTAGAGACAAGATCAGTATCTATCACATTTTTATTTGTTTACCATACAAGAGGTAAATCCTCCACACATACAGGCCGAATGTAAGAATAAAACGTGTGATATTGACTAAATTATAAAATGCATTTGCAGACATCTACAACCATTCAATCCACAACAAAAATAAAGTTAAGCATTACTTGATAATTATCAAAACACTTCATAACAATTATACTATTGAATGATACAATCATTTATTCATACAAACAACTGTAATGAACTACACTGTCTCACTTTATTCACACCTGCACTATAGTATACAGTACTTCTATCTATGCATTCTTTTAAAAACTAACCAAAACTCAATTTATTCCAAAGACCCCTATCAACAGTTTAAATTGCTCAATTTCTAAGGCTCTATTAAAAATAACTGTGATAAATAAAATAAAATTTATGAAGCTAGTGTCAATTCTTTTGAAGCCCGTAAATTAGAGACAGCAATATTACCTCTGGTGCACAGACCCCTCCTCTCCATGCCCTGGAAAGAAGTTACACCACAAGTGAGCCCATGTCATTGTTCCCTCCTACAGCTATACAGACAAACCTCAAGAACAAAGTCTAAAATTTAAATTAAACAAAAACAATCTTGGTTTTGATATTTTTTGGTAATTTATTAGCCAACAAGCACACTATTTAAAGGCAACATTTATAAAAATATATATGTATATAAATAGTATATACATATTTTCCCATCTATTCCTTTAACAGGGCCTTGCTTAATCTTCTATAATAAATGAACAAGGTTATTATTATATATTAGTGCACCAGAAAGAAAAGTACTGCATTAAATTTTACCCTTCTAGTTTTAAAAATTAATAATATTCATGTATATGAAAGACAAATAGCATTATAAACAATTATATATTTATATATAATCCTGCAAATGAAAAACATTAAATTGCAATATGCCCCATTCAGACTTTTCATAATTTCTTATAAAATGCTGGAGGAAAAATAACTAATTACTTCCTGATGAGATATCCATCATAATGATATATATATATCACATGAAAATAGAAAGCAGTGTTATCCTGTCATGGTATATACAAGTTTCAAGCCACAGTTAACAACACATACTTTGCAAAAATAATATCTATTTACGTCTAGTGGGTTCTGATGCTGTGGGTGGAGGAGGGGGTCCCCGCTTTTCTAGCTCTTCCATGTAAGCCATTAAAATTTTTGACCTCTCTTCAGGTTGACAGTCTAACACAAGGTAGCGGCGATCCTTGCGCAAAACTTCTACCACGTCACGCATGTGCTGTTCCCCCTCACTACACATCTTTAATGACCGATGAGTAATGCTTTTTGTCTCCTGTTAAATGAAAAAAAAAAATTTAAACCAAGGCAGATTAAACTTCCTTAAATATCCAACCACAGACATGTCTCTACATTCATGCATATATAATACGACAATTATTTTGTATGAAAGTACAAAGAAGCAGATGCTATATATAGTACAGGATGTGAGAAAATTATAACAACACTATAGTAAACATGCACGTGCGTGCATGCACGCCTAGCACAAACGTTCAAAATACAGGTCGGCCACCACTCATCCGGTTCCATCAGTAATCCAGCACTAATTTTGGCTAGCACAATTTCAAATTTCCAGGGTCGCCACACCAACCTGCAGCTACTGTTTGTTGGTGCTACTTGCTGCACAAGTCATTCCCGTTTCTTTTTCAAATTTATTGTTATAGCCTGCTCACTTTTAGCCCTAGTGTGGAGTTAATAAAATTATTAGTCAGAGGGCTGAAGAGGGGTTGTTGAGGTGGCTTAGTCATTTAGAGAGAATGGATCAAAGTAGAATGACATGGAGAACGTATAAATCTGTAGGGGAAGGAAGGCGGGGTAGGGACCGTCCTCAAAAAGGTTGGAGGGAGGGGGTAAAGGAGGTTTTGTGGGTGAAAGGCTTGGACTTCCAGCAAGCATGTGTGAGCGTGTTAGATAGGAGTGAATGGAGACGAATGGTATTTGGGACCTGACGAGGTGGTGGAGTGTGAGCAGGGTAATATTTAGTGAAGGGATTCAGGGAAACTGGTTATTTTTATATAGCTGGACTGGAGTCCTGGAAATGAGAAGTACAATGCCTGCACTTTAGAGGAGGGGTTTGGGATATTGGCAGTTTGGGGGATATGTTGTGTATCTTTATATGTACAGTGGTCCCTCGTTTATCGTCGTTAATCCATTCCTATAAGGGAGACGATTATCAAATCAATTTTCCCCATGGGAAATAATGTAAATACAATTAATCCATTCCTGACACCCAGAAGTATTAAAACAAAATTTTTTTTTACATGAAATACAGATGTAGTACATAAACAATACAATGGGACATGATGAATGAAACATTAACAGCATAACACTTACCTTTATTGGCAATTCTTCTTAGTGTATGGAAGACTGGAGGAGGAGAGAGATTAGATTAGTTACTGTTTGGAAGGGGAATCCCCTTCCGTCAACACCTCAGGTACCAAGTCCTTTTCTGGGGTTACATACTTCTCTTCTCTGTTTCTTAATGCCACTAGGACCAGCTTGAGAGTCACTGGAGTCCTGTCTCGCAAAAAAAGTGTCCAGAGAGCTCTGTTTCTGGCATCTCTTTAAAACTTCCCTATAATAGGCCAAGACTCTCTCAGTGTACAAGTTGCCAATATGGCTTGCAACATCCTTCTCAGGGTGATGTTTCTCCATAAATCTTTCCATCCTACCCCACATTTCAAAAATCTCCTTAATTTCTGAAGAAGGCACCTTTTTTCATTTCTCTTCCTCCCCCTCTGCAGCAAGATTCTGAGCTGCGATCTGTTGCTGTTCCTGCTGAAGCTCTTGCAGATCCTCAGTGGTTAGCTCTTCATTGTGGTCCTCCACCAACTCTTCCACATCCAACCTCATGGAACTTCCCAATGCCACAATAGATTTCACAACTGACACAGGCTCATCAGGGTCAGCCACAAACCCTTCAAAATCCCTCTTGTGGACACAATCTGGCCACAACTTTCTCCAAGCAACAACAGCTTCCTTGATTTCCTTTTTCTTTGCCACGATGGAAGATATGGTTGTATGGGGTTTGTTATACATCCTGGCTAGTTTGGCCACATGTACGCCACTTTCATATTGTTCGATGATGTTTTTCTTAAATTCAATTGTATTTCTCACCTTTACCAAAGGCCTGACACTAGGAGCTTTCTTTGGAGCCATAGTAGCTTATTTAGCACTTGCAAGCACTAAATGAATGGAATATTATGAAATATTTCGTACGAACAAGTGAGAGGACCGTCGCTCACTGGTAAACAATGGCACACTGGCTGGGAAGGGAGGCCAAGGCGGCTCAGAGCCGTGAGTACACGTCCAGGATGAACAACGATTAGCGAGTCAACCGACCATTTGCGAGCCAATGTTTGGACGAAAGTAACGTGACGATTTCCGAAAAGGACGACTATCGAGGGACCACTGTATATGCTTCTAAACTGTTGTATTCTGAGCACCTCTGCAAAAACAGTGATTATGTGTGAGTGAGGTGAAAGTGTTGAATGATGATGAAAGTATTTTGGGGGGGGATATTTATCTTTCTTTTTGGGTCACCCTGCCTCAGTGGGAGACGGCCGATTTGTTAAAAAAAAAAAAAAAAAATTTCAACACGTCGGCCATCTCTCACCAAGGCAGGTTGATGCAAAAAGAAAGAAAATACTTTCATCATTATTCAACACTTTCACCTCACTCATACATAATCACTGTCTTTGCAGAGGCACTCGGATATGACAGTTTAAAAGTTATCCCTCCAAACTGCCAATATCCCAAATCCCTCCTTTAACCCTTTCAGGGTTGGTGCCGTACTAGTATGGCTCATGCGCCAGGGTTGGTGCCGTACTAGTATGCGTAAATTCTAGCGGCTTCAATTTAACCGGGAAACAGCTGGTAGGCCTAGATGTGAGAGAATGGGTCTACATGGTCAGTGTGCGTGGTAGGAAAAAATTTGGGGACCCAGTGGTGCATTGTGGGAACGGCATTTTAGAACACCTTGCTCACCATGCTTCGCGGTAAGAAACTCCTCGGCGAATTGGGACACTTTTTTTCCCCAGTGACAGTTCTAATACAGATGGAAGTATCAGTGAAGATGACTTCCAAGGTTTTCAGGAAGTTGTGACCGAAACTAATGACCATAATACCGGTAATAGTGAGGAAAATCCATATGACCCTCAACCTTCCACCTCTGGTGCTCGGCCGTCTTGTTCACGTTCAGTTGTACCAGAATGAAAGAGGAAACTCGTATTTTCACATATCCAGGAATCAGATGTGAGCAATGGTGATGCTAGTGATAGTGAATATGAACTCCAATCTCTTGAAAACAGTTCCAGTAATGAAAGTGAAGTAGAATATTCTCCAGTGAAGCGTCAGTATATACGACGGTACATGCGCTCTGGTAGTGTGGCATGTGCTATTCCAAGGGTAAGGAGTACATCTCGGAGTACATCCCGTGGCTGTACAACAGGAACAGATAGTGAAAATGAAGATGATAGTGTTGCAACTGGGATGGAAAATGTGCATACATCTGTTGGTGGTAGTGGTGGTGCCAGCTGTGAGGCACCAGCAGTGGGCCATGCTGCCCCCCACGCCACTGACTCACCTTAACTACAACAAAGGCTACCATCCCCCACCCACCCACCACCACACCAACCTCCACAACCACAACCACCTGTCAGTATCCAGTACCCACCAGACCACACCTGGGATTGGCAGGAAGCTGCCAATTTTGTTCCCAATCCCCATCACTCTGATAAAAGTCAAAGTGCAATATGGCCATCTTGTACACTTGGGAACAATGCCACTGAACTGGAATGTTTCAAGTTCTTCTTTGACGAACCCCTGATGGAAATTGTCAGGGAAAGCAACAGATACTTCAATTACACCATGGCAAACAATACTTTCACCAAAATCATGCCTACACCAGTGGAAGGAGACAACTGTGGCTGAGATGTGTCTTTTGTTTGCCACAATAATGCTTATGCCACATGTATATAAGCAGTGTCAAATCATACTGGTCGACAGACCGCCTGAATGTAACCCCAGGTTTCAGTGATGTAATAGGAGTGAATTGATTTGTGCTACTATTATGTATGCTTCACTTCTCAGACAAAACCAGGCCTGACAGAAATGACAGGTTATGTAAGATTAGGAATGTGTTTGTGTATCTGAAACAGATACTTCAATATGTACTATTTTGATCCCTTCAGGAAGCTTGTTATTGATGAGTCTTTGATTCTGTTCAGAGGAAGACTTGTCATTCAAGCAGTATATACCAAGCAAGAGGAAATGCTTTGGTATAAAGTTGTTTGTGCTTTGCGAGTGCTACAGTGGTCTTGTATTAGATATAACTGTGTACACTGGAAGTAATACATTGCAAGATACCCGGAAGATACCCAGTACCAGGAAGTTACTGGGTATCTCTGGTGATGTGGTTAGAACAATGATGGAACCATATCTTGGTAAGGGGCATATATTATATACTGATAACTGGTACACAAGCCCTTTACTCAGTGATTTCTTGCGAGTGAACATGACAGTTGTGTGTAGCACAGTGCGTGGAAATTGTAAACACATGCCCAGGTTCGACGCTGGCACACGTAGAGATGAGGTACAGGCATTTGCTGCCAATGACATCATGGCATTTCGGTGGCATGATAAATGAGATGTCACACTGTTGTCATCAGTTCACTGTAACGAAATAGCAGACACTGGCAGGCAGCATAGAAAGAGCAATGAACCCATTCTAAAACTTGCAGCTGTGATGGACTACACCCTCAATGTGTGTTCAGTGGACAAATATGACATGCAGATTGGGTTTGCTGATTGTGTTCGCAAGAGTTATAAGTGGTACATAAAACTTTTTCCGTATTCTGGACATTTCCATGCTCAATGCTTATACAGTGGTCCCTCGTTTTTCGTAGTTCTTGGGAATCATAGATTTCAGAAACCAGAGGGATATTTTCGTATAAACATGGGCTCGCTAATCATAGGTTGACTCGCGAATAGTAGTTCGTCCGGGACGCGTACTTACGGTGTGAGCCGGGGCGGCCTCCCTACCCAGCCAGTCTGGCATTGTGTACCAGTGAGCGAAGGTCCCCCTCACATGCTCCTACGAAATATTTCATAATATTCCACTCATTTTAGTGCTTGCAAGCACTAAATAAGCTACCATGGCTCCAAAGAAAGCTCCTAGTGCCAAGCCTGTGGTAAAGAAGAGCTCACCACTGAGGAGCTGCAAGAGCTTCAGCAGGAACAGCAACAGATCGCAGCTCAGAATCTTGCTGCAGAGGA